TTTGTTTATTGTGCATATTTAAAGTGTTTTCCAGTTCCAGTATTAAATCTTTAGAAATTCAAAGTTTTTTTCTCTTTGATTGGGCAGATTTGCATTAATAAGCCTTTTTTCTCAAAATGACAATAATAGTTTATCGCAATCATTTCTGGAACAATTTAAAATCTGTTGTTGTGACAGGTGAGCGTTTACTTGCCTGTTGAACAAATTGGAAAAAGCTCCCAGTTTCTTGAGCTTTCCATCGTCCAGCTGCATGCCGCCCGTCCCCGGACGCCCTCGCCCGGTACTCCGGAAATCTCCCGGTAGTGGCGACGACAGCGCCACGTCCGAGAAGTGGGCCGAGCCACTGAGATCCGTTTCCAGGGTTACGATGGCGCTGGAGTCCGAAGTGACGGTGAAGTCTAGGATGTCCTCGTTGGAGACGGACAGCTCGGTGCTCATGCTCGACACGCTGCACACCGAGATGTCGTCGCTGCGGTTCAGGGCTCCGCCCCCCACGCTCAGTCCCGACGCGGCCGTCAGCCTGACGGTGGGGCTGAAGTGTCGGACGGAGTCGTAGCCGCTGCGGGGGAAGGTGGAGGACCTGTGCATGCCATTGTTGTCGGCCGGGTTATCGTCCAGAGGTAAAGTGGCGGGACAGTCTTCGGCGGCGTCTCCCGGGTGATGGTGGCCGTGGTCTGGAGGGTTGATCTCCAGAGTGGGGATCCCCGAGTCCTGAGAGGTCAAACTGTGGCGGTCCGGGTCCAAGTCGGAGCAGTTTTTCTGGGGACTGCTGTAGTAGATGGGAGTGGAGGAGCAGGACGGCTTGTAGCTGGGCAGGACCAGCTCGCTGCCTAAAGCACAGCTGGGTTTGTCGTACGAGTTGGAGGCGCTTGATTTGTTGCCCAAAGATCCGTTCTTCACAACGACTCCAGCAGACACCCCTAGGTAGAGCAGAGAGCACAGTTTTACACATCACTTCAACTCAGCTTGTAATGCGTTAATTAAACATAAAACTTAAGAAGAATAAACCAGCTCTGGCTTCCTGTTTGATCGTTTTCTAATTTGAAAAGAATTACTGAATATAGGGCTAGTAGATAATTCCAGATCAGCCATTTTTAATGATTGTTCACTTCCACCATTGAAAAGCAATATTTTTTATGAGTCACCCAAGGTCAAACACAGTAAAAGAACTGAATTCCATACTCAATTTACGAACAGAATCTGTTCGTAAATCTCATGTGGGTGTAAAGATATGACAAAAAAACAAAAACACTGAAGATAAATGTACTTTTTATACTGTTCTTCCACAGAGCACATTCACGTCACGATCCAGTGAATACACACCATCTTTGGAATGATGCATTGCTAAGGTACTTAATGATTTATAAAGCTGGAGAAAAGCACTTAGCATTCTGATTTTAAAAGGGCTTTAAAATGTAGAAACAGCTTGACTGATTTATTTTCAGTTCATTTCAAAGATAGGAATCACTGCAGGACTTGGGGGTGCCGGGGGGCGAGGGGGGCGTTATCAAGAAGGATTAGGACAGGTGGAGAACAAAAGCTGGGAGGGTCACACTCTCGCAAATAATTCTGATTCTCACTTGTCTCAGAATGTAGGAGCCGTTAAAGTGACGCTTGCATCATTCTGCAACATAAATCAGTTTTATTAGACTTAATTCAGTTATCAGTTCCTTGTAAATAAAACCATGACTCAACTTTAAACCGTCAGTAAAACCCTTAGCAATGTAACGTACACTGAAAAATATTGGATCGACAAAACACAAAGTCATTGAAAACCTCCTTAAAATTTACTAAGACACAGGATACAAAAGGAGGAAATTTAATACCACAATATCCAGGGTGTAACTGGAGCCTGGAATGTAATGTGAACAGAGCCCCAGCTAGGCTGCATCAGGCTTTTAACTGCAGCTTTGTACCGAGTGTGAGTGAGCAAAGTGAAACATTAACACGGAAAACACTCGTTTAACAGCAACATGGTAGCCAGTCGGCCTGTTCAGCCGTGTTCCAGAGCCAGATTCCTGCCCAGCTCTAAAGCCCTGATCTGCTGGCTGCCATGCAAGTCCTGCAGCCTACTTTTTTTTTTTTTTTTAAACAAAACTACGCGACAGGTTGATCCTGCACCACTGTGGCCGTAATCTACAAGAAACTGTTTGTTTCCACTCCTTTTAGAACCAATGCAGTGAAGAATTTAGCAAACACAAAAGCGGAGAAGTGTTGTCGCGTTTTCAAAGTTTTAAGAACGGCTGGACTCGCAAAACCGCCCGTTTGAATAGATGCACAAACCATGCTCCATGACTCATCGGATCAATATTAACCAGCAAAGGCATTTAATCTCTACACTGACAGCATGACAAAAGCTGGAATATGGGCTAAGACATTTAGGTGTTGCCTCTGAAAGAGGAAACGATATTAAGCAATGCCTTCAAGTTCTGCATTTAATTAAACAGTTAAAAAAAGGCTATTTGGACAATATTTTTTGCTACAATTGCTTGGTTATTATGCTGCTCTATTTAAAACCAGAATTAGCTTGATAATTACCTATTTTCTATTCCTATTAATAACACTGGTTGATTTAACAGAATGTTCAGGTAACTCAAACAAACCGTCTTTTAGCTGTTTCTATAATTTAAAATTTAAGTTGATGTAATTTTTAATTCCAAATTTAGACATTTGACTTAAAAAATAATCTGAATTCACTTTTGTCAAATATCATTTATTGTTTTTAATTGGGGAAATGATTTTTATTCATCTGAAAATGGAATCAAATGTCATAACTCATACAATCCAGGTATCTTCAATGGATTGGCGATGCTGTGAGCCGGAAGAATCTCCAGCAGCTGTCAGTCTTGCAACTAATTTGAAGAGGCCTCTGACTGAAGACTGTTGTATCAGTCTCATTACATGCAAACAGTCCAATTTTCAGGCAGCAAAGACAACATTCCACAGTAACGTCCTGGAGGACACCATCAGTTGTTAGCAGACGTTGGTACTCCACCTCATGCTTTTGACTAGTCTAGGAAGCCACCGTTTTGGTGGGGATGTGACCTTATGATGGAATAGACCATAGAGGGACTATTACAAGTGATATTTATTCTCATTATTGAGAAAAGGTCCTGCATCCCAAATGGTGTGCTGGATGTTCCGTGGGAATATGTAAAAGTAGCAATTTTATAGCAACAGTTAAATTTAGCCATTCTGAAAAGCTGGATCGCGACTTTTTATAAGTGTTAATCTGTTTCAGAATTTCAGCTTTCACACCGACTTTTTGACCAATACAAAGTTATTTTGTTTTCCTCGCAAATATGCTTTTGTTATGGTGTACGTCATTTTACAGGTGGTCTACACTGAACTGAAATGCATTTTTTTTTAAAGTTGAAGCTAAACAAAAAGTTTATTTTCTCTTTCCAATTTGCGTCGTGCGTTTTAAACACATAAGCCGAATTAATGATGTACTTCATTAATACACAAAAATATACCTTTTAAGTCTTGATAAGTTCGCCATTTACAATAAATGTGAGATACGTTTCAGTTTCACCTCTTTTCTCATGTAGTTTGGCGAATATTAAAAAGGGACCGAGACTCGAGGGCGGCACAGCTAATGGCAGGGTCAAAGGGAGTGTTGCTATTTAAACGTGCTAAAGTGGAACAAACTGCCTTACCAGAGCGGCCGTCCATCTGTTTTTGTGGGCCGAGGCTCGGGTTTGCCATGCCGCAGCCGGTGGACGCTACAGGTGGATGCCAGGTAGCATCCGCTTGGAGAGATCCATGATGATGCTGGGGCTACTGCGGCTCCACCATCGCCCCCATGGCTCCTCCACACAAACGGCTCTGGAGGGAGGTCATCCGCTGTCACATAAAGTCACTACAGGTGGAGGGAGGAGGTAAAACAAGCGGCCGGTAAACACAAACACCACGTCGCACCACCTCTCTTCCTCAGAGTGCACTTGCTGCCGCTGACGCCAACTCACTTCTCTCAACAGCGCTTCCTCAACTGGAAACAAATGTGAACAACTTTTATAGTTTAATTTCTTTGCTAGCATCAAAACGGGAGATGAAAGCGGTTTCCGTTACTTTATATAAAGTGTACAAATGACACATTTAAACCTTTACGCTGGAACGTTTTTTTTTTTTTTTAAATCATACCTGTTTCGTCGCTTCCGCCGCCATTTTAAAACAAACTTGTACGTGGAGTGCGGTGTAATCGAGTCAAGAACGTCTGCTGTCGATAGATTCACCTGTCTCAACCTGAAGGCATTAATAATCGACCTACACCTGCACACCCGGTTAAAATGCTATGCATGCTATTAGAACTAATTTTTTTTCCCACTACAACCGTAAACCTCAACGTATTTGTGGGGCGGGGGACGCGGAAGTGAAATGTCCCGTGGGTTTTAGTTAGGTACGAACACTTGTCCTTAAAAGTCACCTGATAAGTAGCCAAGAGTCCACCTGGGTTTAATCCCGGTATAAATACAGCTGTTTTGGCAAGGCTGTTGTAGCAGTACATGAGAGAACAGAGAATAGAAACACTTCAGACTGGTCGAAGGTGAAGTTATGAAGCAGTTTAAGATTTTATTTTAAATGTTCAACAAAAACAATAAAAAGATAGGGTTGTACACCCGACATTGTCGCCCTCGAGGCCGGGCCACTGCCACCCTACTGCCCCCCACCAGGGAATCATGTTCAATTCATGAACAAAGGCAGAGAGAATTATCTACTGCAATCAAGTAAAACCAAATAATAAATGTTATTAATTTTTGATTTAATTTCTGCCACCTAAAATTTTTACTGACTTGGTCACCATCCTGAATAAATTTCTAGGGGTGCTGCAGGCACCTCAACTTATCAAAGGGAAGGATACCAAAATATAACTTTTTACCCAACATGCAAAGCACTATTTTCACACTGCCCTGAACACAACCTTCCAAATGTGAAACACAGCAGTGGCAGCATCATGAAGCAAAGGATAATTTTTTTAAATGTGGAGAGAAGCTGGTCTGAGTTGATGGGAACATAGAGAACACAAAACCCCGGGATAAAAACTAGTGATCCATCAGGGCAGTGACCCTAAAAATATAAGTGCTAATAGTTTCAATAACACATATTCATGGTTTAGAGTGGCCCTGTCAAAGTCCTCACTCGAATCCAATTGAGAATGTGACGCAGGACTTGGCAACTCGCATCAAAATCTTTTATCCACTGTATGTGAGCTTAAGCTATTTTTGCAAAGAATAGGCAAACATTTCAATCTCCAGAGAATGGTAGCTCTATTTGCAGCTAAAAGAAACTCTTTAAAAGAAAAAAAAAAAAAAACAGGTCTTGGAAGGGATCGTCTTAAGTGAGGTCGCTCACTGCTACAAGTTGATAGACATAAAAAAAAGTTATTTAATACTTAATGGATACTAAACTGACCACATTAGTTCACTTAAAATAATACAAAGCACAGTAGCATAAGTTTGCAAATGTGGTTCCACAGCTTGGAGCATCAACGCACTCTAGTGCCATCCTGAGGTCACATAGTGGAAGTGTAGAACTGGTACTTGGAACAAAAACGAGCAACTCCGACTGAGGTTTGCTTTATTCATTTATTAGATGTTAAGGAACTCCACAATGAAACAAAATAATTTACTCATGGTGTACATGAAATTAGAACACATCTATTAGGGTAATAAAGGAAGAGGGAGGGGTTTGGAGGAGCATCTTTCTGGGTGGGAATGGAAAGACGAGGAAAATTCTGATTTTCAGTGTCGTATGGTGTTCTTCAGGCCGGAACTTCAGACCAAAGTGTCGGCGAAACTTCATCAAAGTCCATCTCCTTTCAAAACACGTCATACAATCACTGAATACATTTTCCTGCCAGAGAGGGATTTTTTTTCCTTTCCTTGTTTTAAAACTGCTTGTTAAAATTAATGAAACTTGAGGAGAAAGATGTGATGCAATCCATCCAATGTAAGTGCTTTTTGTGACTGCTTCTCGCACACATTCACACACACAAGCACACACAACATTCTCTCACAGATTTAAACTTTGTTTTAACTAAAATGTGTTTCATCCAACTTAAAGCAATGGAGTGTGACGTTTGCATGCTTTATTTCTCAGAGACATTCCACTGTGTTCTCAGGCGTCCCTCGCTCAAAAAGTAGCCCCACATGCAAAAAAAAAAAAAAAAAAAAAAAAAAAAAAAGGAAATCAGCTGCATGACTTGCGTCCGTATACTTTAGAATGCTTTTACATGCGCCAACGTATTGCATAGAACTCGGGGCTCCTGAAATTCCCTCCCACGCCGTTTATGCAATCAATGGCTTCGATTTTTATTTTTTTTTTTACTTACGTTTTTCGTAATTAAAACTATAGCTCTACATTAATGACAGTCATTACAGCGTTATGCTTGAAAACAACTTCTGTCACCAATTTCTGCTCGACAAAAAACAAACAAAAAAAAACATTAATGCATCACTGCACTGTCACAGGTCTCAGTGTAGATTATGCTTATATTAAAAAATTCCTGAGTATCTTTGACTGTTAAGGAAAGGGGATGAGACCCTGAAGTTAAGTTTGCTTCGTTTTACTACTCGAAAGGATTTTTTTCATTTTCCTTTTTTTTTTTTTAGTTAAAGTACCACAGGGCTAAACTATCATTGGGTTTAAACAACATTCACACTCAGGAAAGTGGAAGCAACACCATGACGGTACGAGGGGAGGATTTTTAGTAGCCTGTGCTTCACTTCTGTGGTACTTGAGACAATTAGTTCACTTATATTACCCTCAATCTTCATGGAAAATAATTTTTGATGAAGAAAAAGAAAACCGCTTTCATTCAATTAGATTTTGTTTTTAAGCCTGGAAAACTTCAGAGGGTTTCTAGATAACAGCTCAAAGGGCGGAGTGGGAGGAGGTGTGGTTCAGAGTTACTGCGCAGAAGCACGTCTGTAGCCGTTCCCGTTTCTCGGAAGTTAAAACTTTAACTACACTCAGTCTGAACCAGTGTCTTCACAAGTTGTACACCACCACACACAAAACGGAGAAGACACAAATCAATATTTCAACAAGATAAACCCAAAAGAAAGATAATTTTAAAAAAAAGAAAAAAAAAAAACACCTCGCATGGGAAAAACAAAATAAATCTGTAATTTAGAGTACTTCCTCTTTGTTTTTTGGTTAGATGGTTGCCCGGCCACTTGTTACAACACGGTTTGCTTCTTTTGCATCTGCCCTGATGTTGTCCTTTCCTTTCTGCCGTGGGGGGGGGGCTTTGAACTCAAAAATACGTGTTCAAACAAGAGATTTTTTTTTTTTTAACATGTCTACTAATCATTAATTTACAGGTCAGATAATTCTTTAAAAAAACAACAACAAAAACAATCTTATGTTAAAGTATGAACTGTGTTCAGTCATAAATTCTCATATTTGCAAAAATAATAATGGTGGGAAAAAAAAAAAACCCGAAGCATTTCTGGAGTCTGGCTACAAACTACGTCATAAACGTATCACAGCCAGATTTATTGAACTTCAAAAGATTTTGGAACATTTCAATAGCACCAATGTTTTGTACCATAGAATTCACAAAAAAAATATATTAGAAAAATGTTTCAGCTGCAACTCAGATGTCTGGAGAGATGGCTGCAGTTGAGCCACCTTATATAGGATCTTTAGCTCAAAACCTTTATTTATTTTTTTTTTAATGTAGATTATTTTTAAACCAATTTTGTGTACAGCATTGCAATTTTAAGGAGACCATTAGTATTGTTCCCCTGACAAAACATTAATTTATGGTTATTTTTATGTTTCAAAGATTTTTTTAACCTCACAAACCACACTGTATCTACAACTAGCTCTTTAAAAGACCATCACCATTCAAAACAAACAAACAAACAAAAAAAAAAAAACTCAGACAACTTTTCACACACAGGGAAGTTGAGGATATTTAGAAGAAAGCTGAGCACATTCTCTACTTCGCATTCAGAAAGTTGCACAATCAAGATAAATTAAACTCTCAAATCCAATACAGAAGTCAAAAGAAAAATCTTCACATCCTTGTATTTTCTTTCTGAATCTAATGCAGAGAAAGTAGAGAATGGGGCAGCAGTTGTTTCACGCAGCATCTGTTTCAACTAGAAAAAAATAAAACAGGAGTGAGACTGCCTGGACGAACAAAAACATGCACAACCATTCAGACGGCACCGACCACCAGAAACCTTGGTTCGCTCTCCAAAAAAATGGTGGGAACGGAATCGGACGAGGATAGAACAAAAAAAAAAGAAGGAAAAAAAAGAAAAACAGAAGCATCTCTACAAGCTAACTGTGAGATTTGAAAAAGGACTGGTGTGCAGAATAATCATTGCATCACTCAAAGACAGAACTTTTTTTTTTTTTTTTTTTTTTCCTTTTTTTTTTTTTCCCCTTTTTTTTTTTTCTTGTTTTTTGTTTAACAAAGGTTTTTTTTTTTCTTTAGGAAAATGAAAG